ATCTCTAATGTCACACTGTACTAAGTGAATAAATTGAAGAGAAATGGGAGTGGACTTTTAACTTTCTTTCTTTATAAAATTGTCCAACTAAATTTCAATATGAGATACAATGTGATTTATATAGGATTATAATATAGAACATTAAGAGTTTACAGCAATAACTATTTCTAGTTCCCTAAAGGAATAAACTTCCCACGGCCCAAGGGAATCTACCTTTTGAACTACCTAAGTCTGATTTGAATTTAACCAACAAAACTCCCCCATAAATTCAAATGTTCCTTTGATCCATCATGCTTAGCATTTTCTTCCCTCTGTCAAATAGCTCCTTCGATAGTGGTTTTATGAGAATATATGCTGCTTGATCCTTGCTTGCAACATGCTTCAGTTTGATGCTTCCATCTTTCACATGTTCTCAAATAAAATGGAATTGAACATCAATGTGCTTGCTTCGTTCATGGTTTACTGGATTCTTCGCCAGTTCAATTGTAGATTTGTTGTCAACTTGAATTATTGTTGCATCTTCCTATTTTGATTCCATCTTGCTCAACAATCTTCTCAGCCATATTGCATGGCATACGCACCAAGATGCTGCTACATACTTTATTTCACAGGTCGAAAGAGTTACTATGTGTTGCTTCCTTGACAACCAGGTGAAATCAGTGTTTCCTGTGAAGAACACATATCCTGAAGTGCTCTTTTGATCATCAATGTCACCACATGAATCACTGTCAGAGTATCTAGTCAATTTGTATTCTTCTTCTTTCGAATAGAACATTCCAAGTGACACAGTTCCTTGGACATATCGAAGGATTCTCTTCAGAGCTTTCCAGTGTGCAACAACTGGTTCTCCCATGAAACGACTCACAATTCCAACACTCAACGAAAGATCTGGCCTTGTGCATGTGAGGTATCGAAGACTTCCCACCAAACTTCGAAATTTGTTTGCTTCGACACGCTCTCCCCCATCAAATTTCAAAATATTTTCTCCTTGCTCCATTGGTGTCGAAATGGGATTGCAGCTATCCATCTTAAATCTTTTCAGGATATCTTTTGCATATTTTTCTTGTGAGATGAAGATTCTTGTTTCTTCTTGTTGAACCTCCAGACCAAGAAAGTATTTCATCAGGCCTAAGTCAGTCATCTCAAATTCTTGTGTCATTGTGCATTTGGACTCTTCGACCATCTGATTGTTGTTGCCCAATAAAATTAAATCATCAACATAGAGAGCAATAAGCAATATTTTCTCTTTTTTATTCTACACATACAGGGCATATTCGTAGGGACATTGCTGAAATTCATTTTCTTTGAAGTATGTGTCAATTCGAGTATTCCATGCTCGTGGTGCCTGCTTCAGCCCACAAAGTGCCTTCTTTAGCTTTAGCACCTTTCCTTCATTTTCGATTTTCATGAATCCAGGGGGTTGTTCGATGTAAACTTCTTCTTCGAGCACGCCATTCAGAAAGGCTGACTTGACATCCATCTAATGTATTTTCCATTTGTATTAAGCAGCTTGAGATATGAGCAGTTGAGTTGTCTCCATTCTCGCAACAAGTGCAAAGACGTCATCATAACCAATTCCTTATTTCTGCCTATATCCTTTCGCCACAAGCCGCTCCTTGTATCTTTCAATTTTACCTTGTGCATTTATCTTTTTCTTAAACACCCACCTCACACCAATTGTTTGACTTCTTTTTGGTAACTCTGCTAGTTCCCAAGTATCATTGCGTTCAATGGCCTTGATTTCTTCATTCATAGCATCCTTCCAATTTTTGTTTCTTATTGCTTCTTCGAAACTGACATCTTCAGTGTCTGCCAACAAGCATACGAGATGCACTTTTTCTGTGTTTTCATACAAGTCTTGTAAACTTCGTAACCTGGGCTGTGAGGGTCCTTCTTCATCATCAGAGTCTTCTGATTCTGTTGAAGTATATTTTGATATAGCATCTGCTACTTTGACCACAACTTCAGTATAGTTGTTCCAGTGCCACTTGCTTTTTTTGTTTACTCGAACATCTCTACTTACTATCACCTTTTTGTTTATTGGGTCGAAAAGTCTTAACCTTTCATTTTCTCATCATAGCCAATGAGTATGTATTTCTGTCTCTTATCTTCCAGCTTTGTTCTTCTTTGATCAAGTGCATGTGCATAAGCCACACTTCCAAACACTTTGAAGTGAGACACAATTGGCTTTTGTCCGCTCCAAGCTTCTTGAGGTGTTAAATCTCCCAACTTCGAATATGGACATCTATTCTGAACGTAGATTGCACATTGTACAACTTCTGCCCAAAATTCCTTTGACATGTTTTTGCTCTTCAGCATTGATCGAACCATGTCAAGGATTGTTCGATTCTTCCTTTCCGCCACACCATTTTGTTGAGGTGAGTATGCTGGAGTCAGCAATCTCCTTATGCCTTGTTCTTCATAGTACTTCATAAAGGTTGTCGAAGTATACTCCCCATCTCTATCTGATCGAAGAGCTTTGATGTGCTTGTCTGTTGCTTTCTCCACCATTATCTTAAACTTCTTGAATACTTCGAAGGCTTCTGGATTTTCTTTCAGAAAATACACCAAAGTTTTCCTTGAGTAATCATCAATAAAGGATATAAAGTACTTTTTGCCACTGAAGGATTCTGGGGTAATTGATCCACATATGTCAGTGTGATTCAATTCCAAAATTTGTTTGGCCTGATATTCTGCCTTCGATTGAAATGTTCTCGTCTGTTTGCCAAACACACATTCTTCACAGAACTTTCCTTCGAATTTTATATCTGGCAGTCCATGCACCATATTTTTCTTTGCTAACCTCCTTAGTCTAGCTTGATGTAGATGACCAAAACATAGATGCCACAAGGATGCTTGGTCTTCGACATTGACTTGCAAACACTTTTCTCGAATGCTTCTCAAATTCAACTTGTACATTCGATTTCTCCCCATTTCGACTTGAGCAACCAGACGTCCTGACTTGCCTTTTAAGTGCAAGCTTCGATCTTCCATGAGAATCGAATATCCCTTTTCTGTGAGTTGTCCTAGACTCAATATTTGCTTTGAGGTTTGGTACATAATATACATCTTGGATAGATCCTATCAAATCATCTTTCTGTAAGAAACTAATTGTTCCTTTTCCTTCGACCCTTACTTTCGACGCATCTCCAAAGGAAACATGACCATCTTCAATTTTATTTATTTCTTTGAACAAGTGCTTATGACCACACATATGGTTGCTTGCTCCTGAGTCAAGGTACCACATAGTGTCATTTTCTGCATCTGCTTCCTTTTGAGTCATTAACAGAAATCCTTCACTCGATTATGTTTCTAGGGCAAGATTTGTTGTTTCTTCTACCTTTCTTCTGAGTCGACAGTCTTTTGTAAGATGCCCCATTTTACCACAGATGTAGCAACTGTAGGAGTTGCAATCTTTCGCATAGTGCCCTTTTTGTTACATTTGTAATATTCGACATTGTTGTAATTCGATCTACCACCTCTCTGGCCACGTCCTCTGCCACCCTAGTTTTGTTGGCTTGACTGTCCTCTGTCGAAGTTGTTATTTTGGTAACTTCGACCACCATTACGTCCTCCACGACCATGTCCTCTCCCACGCCAATTTTGAGAGAAAAGTGCATTTTCGTCTCTGTTGGGTTCTGCATCTTCAAGTGCCTCCTCCTTCTTTATTTTGCGTTGTTCATGTGCCTCAAGCGAACCAACCACTTCTTTGACGGTGATTGTCGAAAGGTCCTTCGCCTTTTTTATTGCGCATACTATGTTTTTGAACTTGTCTGTCAAAGATCTCAGAATCTTTTCGACAATACGGGCATCAGTCATTGCTTCTCCATTTCGATTGAGCTCGTTTGCCACTGTCTCCACACGAGTGATGTAGTCCGATACGGACTCCGTCTCCTTCATTTTCATTCTCTCAATTTCTCCTCGAAGAGTCTGCAATCGAACTTGCTTGACTCTATCTGCTCCTTTGAAAGCCTTTTCGAGCGTGTCCCACGCCTCCTTCGATGTAGTCGAACCATCAATCTTTTTAAAAACTGATTCGTCAATTGCTCTGAACAGCATGTACAATGTTGTTTTATCCTTTGCTCGCGTTTCTTTCAACGCCTTATTCTGAGCAGTTGTGTTTGCCATCGTATTTGATGGTTCTTCAAACCCATCGTTAGTTACTTCTCATACATCTAACGATCCCAGCAACGCCTTCATCTCGATACTCCAGTTCTCATAATTCGACTTTGAAAGTCGTGGCCGTGGCATTTGACTCATCATATTTGCCATGCGCTCTGATACCAATTTGAAGAAATTGAAGAGAAATGAGAGTGGACTTTGAACTTTCTTTCTTTATAAAATTGTCCAACTAACTTTCAATATGAGATACAATGTGATTTATATAGGATCACAATATAGAATATTAAGAGTTTACAGCAATTACTATTTCTAGTTCAGTAAAAGAATAAATTTCTCAGTGTCCAAGATAATCTATCTTTTGCATTACCCAAGACTGATTTGAATTTAACCAACACCAATAACCAACTAGTTGTTTCTCAATCCACCCATTATACTAATGGTAGAATTAAAAATGTTAACATCAATTTTATCAATTATACTAGAGACTAGAGAGTACCAAAGCATAGAAATAGGTTTTATGAGTTTACGGTTGTAAGTGGTGGGCAGTGAATTTGAGAGACAAATTTTTTAATGATAGGAAAATATCTTGTCTTCCCTTGTCACTAATCTAGGAAGAGTTTAAAAAAGGGTGTTGTCTTTTTTCTTCTTATCTTTTTATTGGTTCGAAGTTGAATCATACAAAAACACAAAACGCCAACAACAAGAACAACAATAATAATAATAATAATATCAATAAGATACACTAGCTGGAGTATATATAAAACAGAAGCTAGAAGAGGAAAGGCAAGGAAGGGAAGAAAATGAAAGAAAATGGATCTTAAACGAATTTTGCTCACTCAACTGAAGAAGCAGAAGAGGAAAGAGTTATCAGAATCAGTATGAACTGTCTTCACATTCACAATCTATCAAGGTTCCTTCTATTCATAATCATATTCATATTCATATTCTATTCCTGCTCACAGTACTTACTCTCTCTCTCTTTTTTCCTTTTCAGATTCTCTCTTCTACCCTTCCACACACTTGTTACTTCTCCTTCTTCCCACCACTCTTCTTCTCTATCCTTCATCCCTAAGTCTCCAACCATGTCACTTAAGGTAACTCCAACATTTTTCCTTCTTTTTTCTTAACAAAACCCTAATACAACAATTATTCACTGTTTCTTGTGCAGGCTGCTTCTGGTTCTATATCAAGTGCAGAGACAAGTAGCTCTCATGTTGAGGAGGTGGTCAAGTCTGAGACATACAGCAACAACATGACAGAAGCCATGGGTGCTGGTATGTTTTTATCATATTCTGCTTTTCCTTTACTAACAACTTGTTCTGTTAACCCTTTCTAACATATTGCTACACAGTTTTGACTTATAGGCATGAATTAGGAATGAACTACAACTTCATCCTACCAGACTTGATTGTTGGATCATGCTTGCAGGTTTTCTTTTTGTTTCCGTTATGGATACCTCATGATTCACTTCTGTCCAATTTAATTTGCTCCTCTCACTTCTTTTTTTGTTTTATCTTAAACCACCAGACTCCTGAAGATGTTGATAAGCTTCGTAAAATCGGAGTCAAAACTATATTTTGCTTGCAACAAGACCCAGACCTAGAGTATGCTAAATATTTGTTTAATATGGTTCATTTTCAGCAATTGTGACATAATCTTTCAAACAAAACCATTTTATTTCTTTAATAATAATGTGTAGATATTTTGGAGTTGATATCAATGCCATACGAGAGTATGCCAAAACTTTCAATGACATTCAACACTTGCGCGCTGAGATAAGGTTCGTAATGGCATGCCTTTTTCAAATAATAATGATAAAAGAACTTATTGGGCTTAGATTGAAAAGTATTAAAAGAGAAATCCTGCTAAAAAATCTATTACTTTATTGCATTTTCTAAATATATTGTACTTCTCACAGATTATGGATTTTGGATTAGACTAGTTGGTAATGTCACCTTGCATACATAGTTTCTAATTTCATAGTACATACTGTGTAAAATTTTAGTCATTTCTGCATTTTGTTATCACGGGTAATACTGGCATATCTATTTCCTAGTGGTATTTGCAACTAAACAGTCATGTCTTTTTGCATTGCACATTCCAATGCCTTTATATGTCATGCACTTTTTTACATTCTTTGATGATTTAACGTGGATGTTGCAGGGATTTTGATTCATTTGATTTACGGAAGCGACTTCCTGCTGTAATTAGTAAATTATACAAGGCAGTTAAATCTAATGGAGGTGTGACATATATACATTGCACTGCTGGACTGGGAAGAGCTCCAGCTGTTGCGGTATATCTCTCGGTTTCCTTTTCCGTATACATGTTACTACCAGATAATGAGAACTATTTAACCTAAAATGTTTTTGGATTAGTTCTTGGTATTCTGAAGAAAATAATTTTAAGCAATTTTTGAGAATTTATATGTACATATTGATTATGTATCCTAGGGTCAGCTGCTCCTCTCTGCTATCCAAGACTGATAAGTGATAACACTTTAATTTGCTTTGCGTTGTGAAATGGCAGTCACAGGTTCTAGTTATATAAGCAGATTCTACGCATCTGTTTAAGCATTCTAGGGCTGTCTGAGTTGACTTGGCTTCGGTGCATATAAGTTCCTAACTTCAAGATGTTTGTTTCTATAGAAAAAGGAAAATCCTAAAATTTTTATTTTACTTATTTTCTTAATAGAGAAGTCTAAACATAAAATGTGAGCTTTGTGGACTGTATACTCATTAGTGCTTCACATCATAGTTAACCAGTCCAAATTTAAAAAGATATATATATATATATATATATATATATATATCAGTTTATCTCCCCATTGGTCATTGTCTAACAGTTTGTTTTGTTTCAGTTGACATATATGTTTTGGATTCTGGGTTATAAACTCAATGAAGCTACTACACTACTTCTGGTAACTCTACTCAGTACTTCTTTTTTATTGTTTGGCATTCTAGTATATGTTTATCGAGGCTATTGGTAGATAATATATTGTACGGCTTTCCATATTTTTAATTGCTTGAATCAAACAGAAGTGATTCTTTCCATTTTTTTCTCAAATTGATGTTATAACATGTTAGACCCTAGGAATTACTAGGAACTAAAATGAATATGGCTGTTCTATTCTGTCAAGTAGCTGTTGCAGGCATATGAATAGCCATTATAAATGATATCTGTAGCAGTTATAGAGTCTAAGAGCAGCCATTAATATTATTAAGAATAGTTACAAAACTTAGGCAGAATAAAAAGGGAAAGAGAACCATGTTTTGATCAGGCTGAAAATTAGAAAGTGGTTATATTTGGGAGGGAGAGACCAAGCTCTCGAATTCTTGGAAGGGAGAGAACCAAGACTTTCGAATTTCTTGGAACTTATTGTAATTACTATTAAATTTTATTGTTTGGTATCAGTTTCTATCATAACATTTATAAGTTCTATGCATAATGATTGGATAGCAATTATCTATGCTGCAACAGTTATAGTTGTGTCACTATCAGATTGTTCACAACTTAGTTATTTGTTAATTATGGAGCAGGACAGTTAACCAACTGATAGATTTATTATTTATTATTTAATATCATTTTCCGTTTCTTTACGTCTTAGAATTCTCATTCCTGTAGTTTGATTATCATATTTTTCTGAACCAGTTTCTTTTGCAATTGGTCAAAAGTGGGAAATAAGATTGAGTTATTGTTGAGTTCTCTTGAGTTTTTTAATTCTTGCAGAGCAAAAGGTCGTGCTTTCCAAAATTGGATGCCATAAAAAGTGCAACGGCCGATATTGTGAGTCAATTTATTTTTTATATGTTTATATGTCATTCTCATTTAAAGCGTGCTTCTGATTAATTTATCGTGAAAATGTCATGATGATAACCAGTTTCTTTTTAATGTGCAAACATACTTTTATCGGGAAAGGAGTATGAACTTGAAAGTGATTTTATCATCAATCATTTTAACAGATCATCCCGTTTGAATGTCAATTGTATATTTACCAGTAAAAAATGTTTTGGACCTGTGATGTTGCATGGCACTTAACTATATGATTCTTAGTTTGTATATATTTTCCCTGCTTATATCAACTCAAATATTTGGTTTTCATATATTTATGTACATTTATTTAGTAATATCATTAACCTTTATTTATCTATGGTCCTTAAAGCTTACAGGACTCAGTAAGAAGCCAGTCACTTTGTCATGGGGACACAGCAATTGCTCTAATGTGGAAATTTCAGGACTTGATATTGGATGGGGGCAGGTGATGATTGAGACTTCCTATTCAGATTTAAGAAATGTCTCAGTTCCTCTAATTTAGAAAGTGTAATGCTACATTACATGGAGATATTTTTAAATTGCATCCTCATCTCAATTAACTAGTTAACTGCTTCAGATTTCAGTTACAACATTTATCATGTTCTGAAACACGTTCACGACTTCACGTGCATAGTCTTAGGTTTTCTGTTGAGATTTTCATGCTGTATAGCCTTCTCTGTGTAGCCTCTAGCTCATGAAATATTTGGCTTTTGCATTGAACTGGAAATAGATTAGAAGGAAACTGTGTTCAATTCCTATTTCAGATTTTACAAATCACTTTAATCACCGATGTTTATTTTGTAGATGACACATTTTTAGTCACAAGGCCCTGAAATTCAGTAGCTTATATAGTTTCCTATTCAACACCATCGTTTCTATTCACTCTGATATCAAAAGTTTCCCATTCAACACTATTGTTTCCTAACACTATGAAGTGTCATTTCCCATTCAAATATTCTGATTTTTATAAACAATCTGATGTAGTTTGACTTATTTACTAACTTTAAATATATGCTAATACTCATGCCAAAGACTTACTCAGTATCTATTGATCCCTTTTCAGAGAGTGCCCTTAGCTTTTGATGACAAACAAGGTTCATGGTTTCTCAAGAAGGAAATGTTTGTAAGTACACTTCACTTGTTAAAACTATGCAGTTGTTAATTTATAGGTCCACCCATCAAATAATCTAATAAAGTAGCTGTAGGGTATATAATATAAATTTTTTCTCTCTCAATTTTGTGTATATGCGACAACTGTAATTAATAACTAAATGATACTATAATAGTTTCAATCATGTACACTGCAGCCATGGATTGAGTGTTTCGGAATTATTTTGAGTTCTTAGGAGTATCTAGTCTGTCAAGAATTCAGATGTCAGAATGCATTGTCTGAGAGCAGCATCTAGTCTGTTGAGAATTCAGTATCAAAATGCATTATCTGTATACAATAATGTGTAGTTTGTTTCAAAACATTTATGCGAAATAAGGTAAGTTTCTTTGTATACTATTTACCAGGAAGGGCACTACGAGTACAAGTACATTGTTGATGGTGAGTGGACATGCAATAAGGATGAGCTTATAACCTCTCCCAACAAAGATGGCCATGTCAACAATTTTATTGATGTAAGTTTGAAGTTTCAACTACTCCTACTTTGTTAAGAAAATAAATTTTGTGATTGTTAACTTTTTACCACACACTGTTAGTTCTTGATTTCCACGTATTTCATCATCTCTGAACAGGTCGTTGATGATGCGGACGGTGATCGTGCCTCTCTTCGGGGGAGAGTGACTGGCGATGATCCGAATCTCACAGAGGATGAACGAAACAAAATAATAGAGTTTCTGGAAGCTTTTCCCAATGAGGATCTCTGAACTGTCGATGCACTTGCTTGTTGATATGTAAAGTAGTAGGTGCGCACCGTGCACGTATATAAAATATAATATACTCCATCTAATAAAAGATTGAATCTGAACCTTCAAATCTCTGTTAATGTTAATGTAATATTAGCATGTCAAAGCTTGTTAGGTTCCATAACAATCATAACAATCAAATGTCTTTTGCATTCTCTAATTAGCACAACATTTCCAATAAACCATGATATTGTACACAAATAATTATGAGGTTAAGAGTTGCACTCTTCATGACACATCATAAATACCAGTTCATGAAGCATCAACTCTGGTCTTAATTTTTAACCTGACACATCAATGTTTCAAATACTATTTTTGTTTATATATTAAATTCTAAAGGGGATATTAACTAGTTTGTTGAGCATAATAGATAATATCTCTTATATTCTTTCCTATAGAGTATTATTAATAGAGTTGTCAAAATGGGCTTGTTTGGGCCGGTCCGAAAAATCATAGAATTTGAGCCTTCAAATTAGAGTCTATATTTTTAAGGATTTTTTTAGTCTAGTCTTACAAAGTCCGTTATCCATTACGCTAGTCCGCATGGGCTGTGGATAGCCCATTAGGCCCACATAGCTATAAATTTTAAAAAAAAATTATATTAATTCTTATATTGTGTTATTCTAAAATAATACATTGATTTTGTCACTTTACTGAATTTTGTTTCTATTCTATTAAATCTTTCTCTTTTAAATATTACACATTAATATAATCAAAACACTTTTCTCATATTCTATTAATTTCTCTTATGTTAAATATTTGAGTATTATTTTCTATAATTTAGACATGTATTGTATTTAAAAATATATTATAGTATTTATAAAAGATAATATAGTACTTAAAAATGTATTATATTCAAAATAGTATAATTTTTTATTTTATTTATAATAAATGTTATAGATTTTTTATTTTATTAAAAAAACCCATTTACGGTCGGATAGTCCGAAATCCATCTAGGACTAGAAAAACCAAACATGGACTTTTTTAAAGATTTTTCTAGGGAATTTTTTTCCACCCTTATATCTTCTCACGAACCCTTGATGAAAACTTAAAATGTCTTTAGAATTTGAAAATGCATTTTTTACCGCATTTATTTTTCACAAAATTGAAAATAAAAAAGGTGGGTCACCCTATTATACTTAATTTTGGAGATCTATTTTCGAATACATTTTTTATTTATAAAAAATAGTGTTTTCGAATATGTGTATCCATATAGACAGACAGGTCTAGTACTCATGCATCAATAATGTAACAAACATGTAAATACCAACAATATCCCTATTGAGAAAAATAATTGAAAAATAGAAAAACGATTAAAATAAAATTATAAAAATCTGAATATACAACTAAAAATCAAATAAAATCAAATAAGAGTTTACAAATTTTTTAGGTTTTTTTTCCAAAAATATGAAAACAGAAAATAAATCAAATCAAATCAAAAAAAATAAGGAATTTAATGTTTTTAGGGTGGCGCCCCGTATTTAGTCCCTAAAATACAGGACTTTGATCCCTGATTTTATTTGGTGAAGTAACACAATTTTTTTTTTGATTCAGAGTCTATTTTTTAGAAAATCAAATTTTTTAAGCTAGGTAGCGCAAAGGCCAAAAGCGCAACAACGCAAGGGCCAGAACGCGAGGATACAATTCATATGACTCTAATATTGGTTAAAATCAACAGAGTCTCTAGAAACGATGTCAATTTCAATGAAAACGTGTAGTAAATGAGATATGGGTATTTTGGAGATGCATCTCCGAATTCACCCTAGAAGTTTTCGAAGATGCATCTCAGGATCAATGTTTTTGGCAAAAACAGAGTGACAACTTGATTTACGAAGTATGAGGTGATTTAAGGTGCTTCTGGAGATGCATCTCCAAAAAAATTATGAGGGAAATTTCAAAATTTTAAAGGTGTGATTCACACCATAAAGATGGGAAAAGAAATTGTCTTTTTCTATTAGACTAATAGTACATGTTGAGAATAAATGTGTTTAGGAAATTTCTTAAGAAACTCTAAGGATTATTACTACACCCTTGTAAAAAAACCTAAAATATCCTCATATTTTATAGATGTATCTTCGGACGCATTGGTTCCTGAATTAGGTCATATGCCAAAAAAATTATGAAAATGCATATATGTGTAGCTTACAGAGATATATCTTCGAACGATATTTTAATCAAAAGGGCACTAGACCTTTTCTCTTTCCTTACTTTTCATAATACTCTCTCAAACTCTTAACCTCTCAAAACTCAAACTCTCTCGACTCATATTCTCTCAAACTTATTCAACTCACTTTAAAACTTCTTCCATCAACATCAAATTGATCAAAAAGCTCACTCAACATCAAATTTAACTCACATTTGATAAGTTTTTTAATTATTTTATTTATTAGATTATGTAATAGGTAGTTTAGATATGTTATTTACATGAGCAATGTGTTTGATAGGTAATTTTATTGATCAATATATTATTTTAGATGTTGGCATAAGCTGCATTTTCACCACTAACGCTCTTATGAGTTACAGAACCTTACAAAGACGCATCTCCATAATTTTCCAATGTTTTGATTTCTAGAATCCAGAGACGCATCTCTGAAATATATTTGTCTGTATTTTTTGACGTTGCTTCATTATGTTTCATATATATAATGCTTGTGTGGTTTACTTATTGGAATTATGATTGATAACCCTGATAGAATAAGGCATGACAAAGTTGCACAACATCCATCGATCGAAGGGAAAATTATCGATCATCGTAGGCACCTGTCATTTTGAGCCTGTTGGATGCGGAGACGTCAACTTCTAGAGCTAATGCATCTCCGCCTTTGTCTTCTCGTAGGAGATAGGTTTCGATTCCTGAAAAGATTGAATACACAACAGTTGCATAATGCAGAACATGTTGTTGTTGTTGACAATCAGGTTGTGCAGCATAAAGCATACCTATTGTATTTGGTTAGTCGAAGACTGTATGTGGAAGACCAAATAGGTGACAAGAAGTATCACACTGTTGGCAATAATATTGTTGCAACTTTTAGTTTTCTATAACACTTATAAAACTTTTGCTACGCCCGTTTGTGCATATTTTACTAATGATTCATATGTATCGTTTTCAGTGTTGGATCCTTCTACACTTCCCACGCATATCTCGCTAGTCACGTGTTATGACCTACATTGATGATATGTCATGTACTTATGCATTTAGCCTACTTAGAGGAAATCATGTGATAGAGTTATACAAAGTGTATCTTGACCGCATGGTAGCAGAGGATATACAATTCCATACTTATGTCGATCATCGTGAGACGCGTCTCTTGGAGGACATTGTCTTCTACTCTGGATGGTTGGCTTGTAGTTCACGTCTAACGTATCTTCATCTGCTTGAGTGTGTCATGCAACAGTTTAGCCATATGCAGTTTATTTTCAAAGACCCTTCTGAGCGTGCTCCTTCTGCTATGACACGTAGAGATATAGATACCGTGTTTGATGATTATCTTTTGCATATAGTATCGAATGAGGCACATAACACCCTAGCTCATAGCGACTGAAGTGTTATACACGACTACATCCGATGATATTTCAGAATGTCACATCCTTATATGATACCAGATGCTCCGGGAGACCCACCCAAGGCAGGTTATCAAGAGACCCTATAGGTGGAGCAGGCTATGATAGATCATGTTGATGTGTTTCCTATACGTCACCATATCATGGAGATTGGACATGCAGGTATAAACAGGGAACTCTTTTCGGATGACTCTGGGATGAGGTGCGTTCTAGAGGCCATGATGGAGGAAGAACGAGAGACAATGCAGCACATGAGGTAGTGTAGGAACAGGGGGACCCTAGTCCAGCATACACAATAGTATATAGTATTTATATTAGGAACACTATTTTCGGCTCTATTTTATTTTGACTTCATTGTGTATTTCAGATTTATTAATTTATATATGGAATTTTCATACTATTAAGAATGCGAGTGATTTAATTTATAAAAGCAAAGTCATATATGGTCAAATTCATTAGAGAATCTCTAACTCAAATTCAAAAATTATCGTTTCGTGTAATTTCAGAGATACATCTGCAAAACAATTTTAAACCAATCACTCCATAATAAAAGTGAAATTAAACCATAATGGAATCCAATTTGGTAGTCTTTATATTTGATAAAATTTAGAGGTCTGAACATTGAAGAAAAGACTTCAATTTTATCGGTGATGAAATTTGGATGCTTTTACTTCCGTTTTTCACGATTGGTGTTCAATCTACATAATAAACTCACTAATTTGATTTCGACTTCGAAATCAGAATGACTTGATCAGACGTTGTGTCCACCTAAAGATTGATCTCGATATTTTCTGAATATCATCCTTAATAGGAGCTTCATGAAACTACTAAAGCCTAATCACTTGGTTTGGATACATTTACTTGTTACTTCCGAATTTAATTTGTTTTTTAAATAAAAACTTTATTATACAAAAATTTATGAAAGATTTTTAGTAATTCCTTTCCATGTTAAAGTAGCAAGTCATTTTTTACTTAAAGAAAAACTATATAGTAGGATTATTTAAATGATGTTTTTTAAGGCTTCCACGAAACTATATAGTAGGGTTACTTAAAGAATTAATTTGTTAAATAATAATTGTAATGATTGTAATGTAACGGATGGTCAAAATTACGGAAAGACTTTTTTCTATAAGTGGTCAAAATTTAAAATTTAGTTTTTTTATAAAATTATATAAATATATGTTGAAAATTTCTCCTAATATTTTACCTTTACAAGCTTCAATGAACCTATTTGGTTAACTTTTCTATATAAGAAAAATAATATTTTACTAATACTGTTTCCTTTTCTCTTGAGATATGGTCCCTCAGATTCAACTTTATAAAGTCATAAAGCTATGTCTTTTCGATTTCTGTTTAACGTGTAGTGTCATAGATTTAGATCTCATTACATGTTTTCAACA